TTTTAATAAGCGTCATTACCCTGCATCAGAAATCCAGTTATACTCAGATTAGGGGGCTGAGCCGGTGGGGGATGTCATTAATTTCAGATGCATTACTGTAAACGTAATTGAAAGTGTTGAGTGCTGGGTAATGACATTGCACATGCCGCTTGGACTAAATTGGGTCTGACTGGGATGGGGTGGGATATTCCTGGAACTGCCTTTAGCAGTGAAAGTGACGCCATCGAGGGACAAAAGATCACAGTGGGAACCTAGATGCCTCCCTTTGGCTTTTGGGATGTTCAAACAAAGGAGTTTGCTGGGCGCTTGACAACTGCAAGTGAAAAGAAGTGATTTACTGTGGAGCTAATGAAGGCTTGTTGGTGCTCAGCTGATGAGGGGGCTGTCTCTTCTGGCTCTGAGGTCGAGTGCTGCTATCAGAGTCTAATGATCTGTTGGTGGTGAGACCCATTAAAATCATGATCAGCCGTCTGCTTGCATATTAGGGCTGCAGAATGAAATTAATTTTTGCCCATAATAATTGCATCTTTAACACTCTTCTGTTTCTCTTATCACAACTCTTCTGTTTCTCTTATCACAACTATTTTTGTAGAGTAGGAATCCTGTTCTCTTGGTGTATGCATTTGTGATTTCATGTGTGCTTTGCATTTGCTGAGTTCAGGTTTTTGTGATTGCTTGTACTTAACGGCTTACAAACACACTCTTTCCCAGATGTTGCCTTCCTGTCATCACATGAGGATAAATATAGCCCTCTGCAGTAATGATAAGTGGAAATGCTGATAATTTGTATGAGAAGCAAACAGCGGCTGCTGAGGTGCTTTCTAATCTAGCACTGTCTCGACCCAGGGTAGGATTGACCAACAAAGTCAGTATCCCAGAGGATGGGAACCTTAAAGGAAATTAGTTATTCCTCTTAACTATTCCTGTGGCTTAATGGTTCCATTAACAATCCTTTTAGTGCTTTTAAAATAGAGAAAATTCTGTTCATATGGGGGTCATATGATCTGATTTCAATTTTTCCTTTCTCTTTGAAGTGTTACAAGCTCTTGGTGCATAAAGAAGAGCTGTAAAGTTGCAAAGACTAAAGTCTCAAATCCAAAGAGATATTCTTTATAAAAGTTAAGAGTCAACCACGCCTACCTAAAACGGTTCGTTCTAACACGCCTGCACATGTCATCGTGACGATGAGGGAAGATTTGCATAACGCCCCCCAAATGTTCACCAAAGAAAGAAGCCGTAACTTTTATTCTCGCTGTAGTATTGTTGCGTAAAACTGTTCTTACAGAAGAACCACCGTAAATGCAATCTAATAATGTAACTCTTTTAGATTATATTTTAGTACAGTATTCCATGTGCATCAGTGGGATGAAATGCACTTGAAATGCAACCTAAGTATAATTGGAAAAGAAAATGGAAAGTTTGTGCATCCAAGTTTACTTTTTACGTTGTTGTTTTCTTTGCTTTCTTTTATTTTCTTATGCTTTGTAGAATGCTTTGTATTTAAACAGGCATTCTCTTGCATGTTTTATGAATAGAACCAAAACAGGAAACCATTTTAACTTGAGAGTGGGACAATTACCCTAACTGCTGAGAACATTTGGACAATTATCATTTTTAGCTAGATGGAGAATTTTTTTTTTACGCTTTGTCATTCCACCTGCAGAAGCACCAGAGATGGGGATATTGAAAGCACCACTGTTGGGTTTTACTTTCTTTTTAAAGGCCTGCCTTGGTTTGACATGATTAGCAAAGACTCTGAATGTTTCTGGGGACTGGGGGAAATGTTGTGCTCTGTGGTCTGCACTATGACTCATGTGGCTAAACGAGGTGTAGACAGCACTTGTGTGTGGGGATTTTGCCCAATGCCCACCATGGAAGTTTGAATAAGATGGTGGGTGTTGTTCATGATCCGAGTCACATACTGAAAAGTACGAAGCGCTTCAGTGCAAATATGAAATCATCCGTGTCTGATTTTGTTTATACCAGCATAAATGATTAAGCTCCTCTGAAGTGTAATTCTTTAATTTATGAATCTCTGAATTTATAAACGTCTGACTCGTTTATTGACTCATAAGTGATCTAATTTAAACTTGTTGTGCAAAATGCCATTCTCTGGCTGTAAGTTGTGAAAACTTTGAGACTTCCTGCACTACTTCCTTTTGCCTGATTGTAACACTTCACAGGATCTTACAAGAAAGAACATGTAATATGCTCATTCCTCTAATCTCTGCTACTGTGTCCCCCATAAATGGTAGGTATTGTTACCTGTCAGTGCCTGCTCTGAGGTATGCGTGTCTTTTGTGTGTTAAAGCATTGGCTAGTGACACTGTATGAATTGGTATGAACATACATGTTCTTCAGTACTCCTAATGTCCTCCTGTACTAGAGAATCTGTACTGTATGCTGTTATGTTTACTTCCAAGTGAAAGTCTGCCACAATATTAACAAGTTTAAATCAAATTAGAATCAGTGTATGCCCCAAAAATCTCTTATCTAAAGGAATAGTTACCATTTAAACAAGAATTAATCACTTTCATGTCCAAAATTATTTTTTGTATACTTTTATGATAATGCTTTTCGTGCCATTTTTGAGACTTGAAAGCCTCAATCATTCAATGTTATTTTTCTTGAAAAGAGAAAGCAGTACAATTTAAAAAAATCATATTTGTGTCCCACAGAAGAAATAAAGTTAAACTGGTTTTCAACAACATGAGGGTCAGTAATTGATGACAATTTTATTTTATGTGTGAACTGTCTCTCTGTAATAAGCAATTAGTTGATGATGCTACTCATGCTAAACAAGTTTGTTTGATGATAAACTTTCCTTCAGGTTTGAGTTGGTAATAAAAATGGTTGAGGTGAGAATATAGTATTTATACCTAGCTATACATAAAAACAATAGAAGTCTATGGGATGTTCTCATTTAGATCTCATCTCATTCATTCCTCGTTTAGCTGTGTAGTCTAAATGTATGTAAGTTTAGGTGGCTACACTTTGATTAGGGGTTGTCTGTAATAATTAGAATTTCCTGTGCATAAAAAACTGTAGATGTCTATGTGTCCTTATTTAGGTTGTGTGTGTGTGTGTGTGAAGGGTAGTTTTAATTAGAGAGTTCTGAGAATGGCCTGACCTCCTCCACCTGCCTATTCTCCCTCCAGGACTCTCTGTCCTTTAGATTCCTCTCTCTTCTTTTCCTCCTACACTTTTTCATGACCCTCTCTATCTCTCACTGTTGTTCTCAGTTTCCTCATGACAGTACTAGCGTATGTTAGCAGTGAGTCTCACCTGCACAAAGGTCAAACCAATCCTGGGTGGAGCACTGAGCTGCTATGCTCATCACTAGGAGTGTTTACTACAGGGACGTGGGTCCGCCCCTTTGGCTTCGAGTCTTCCTGTTCCTGTACTGAGCCTCTTACGAAATTCAGCTTTGTGGGAGTTTTTTTTCAGGTCAATACTGTGGTGTTTTTCCCATTACGGTAATGTCTTTTCTCAAGCTAACATGATTAAAATCTCCCCTGATGAGGCACATCTTGTCCACAGCTATTGTCTGGCTCCTTTAGTCCTCTGATGTATTAGAGACAAGAGCTTCACACACACAAACACACAGGCTCAGCTGCACGAGCATGGGTGATGCCTGATCCCGTTTATCCTGAGGGAATCCATGAATGCAGGGTGGTCAAGGCCATTCAGCAGAGCAAGACATTTATTTCTCTCTCTCTGCTGTCAACAAAACAAATGACTGATGTAATCTGCACACACAGTACTCTGCAAAAAGCTCTGTGGGAATTAATAGACTTGTAATGCTATATACATTGCCCCACCCTTTGCATGTTTATTTATTAAAAGATATTGGGCAACTGATGTATCGCCATGGTCGATAGTTGGCTTTTTTTTTTTTTTACGTGTCAAAAGCAGAAAATGGCAATAAGAATATCAGCACCTTCGAGAAAGCAGACTCTATCTTCATAGTTTACTGTCATTGTATAACAGTCTGTCTAATAAAAGATTAGACAGAACTTTTAAACAAAGAAAATGAACAGTATATGAAAAAAGTATTATAGAATTTGCCTTTCTATTAAAAATATGGCAGATTTGATGGTTGTTTTGGCTGTTATGAGGAGTGAGGTACTTTAAATCCATTCTACATATCCCAAAATTTTGAGCATATAAATTTGTATCTGCAGATTGCTTCTGGGTTTGATGATGGAATCTTAAGGCACACCAAGGATGATAACTGTAAAGATAACTATAAAGCTATAATAATAGTTTGATATTTTCAAGAGTAGCGAAATCCCCACATCATAACTATAACGAGGAATGATAATGTTGAACCAGAACGATTTTTTCCTTCCTGTTTTAAAGAGCTTGAGCATTTAAAGTAGCAGAGGACAAAACTGCAGTGCATGCTTAGAATAAATAAAACTTCATTGTGCTCTGGTGTGGATGCTAATACAGTTATCTTTATCTTTATGGTTATCATTCTTGGTGTGAACATTCTTTTACTCAATGTTTTGTTTTTTTTTCTTCTCATAAATCCATAATGTCTTCAACTAGACATCCAGCACATGCTCAATTATAAATTTCGACATGTCAGAGCATCTTCATGTAGATGTGTGTCAAGTTAATAACCCAGATGAATCATTTTGAATCACTATGAGTCACTCACCAGCTCCTAGTGTTCTAGAAAATCCTAATGACCAAATGTGCCAATGGGAAATGGAAAAATCTGAAGGGAAGATATGATTTCATTATAAATGCTGGTAAATGAGGGGAAAAAATCGTTTTGGCAGTGAGAAATGCTGTTTGGCAGATTTCCCTTATTCCGCCGTTATCTCAGTATCCGTAATGCTCTGCATCATGACTCTTATTCTGACTTGGCTCAGACTAGTAGTATTTTGGTGTGTGTTGTATCCACCTCTGTCGGGACACATTGTATGTACACTCACGGGCAACTTCACAGTCCATTAATCTTGTTCTCTTTCTCTCTCTTTTTTTATCAGGCATTTTAACCTTCGGATGAAGAGGGACACCTCTCTCTTCGCTCCCGATCTGAAGGTGGAAGTTTCTGGAGTAGAGATTCCCTATGACACTTCTCACATTTACAATGGAGAAATTTACGGTGAGCATGGCACCTTTCCAGCACTCACACATGCACACACTTGTACATAAAGGCATGCATCCACCTCAACACACTTCCTGAGTTGCCACGGAAACGTTGCCTCCATCTATTGTATTTGTACACTGTTTTAGAAGATGCAAAGTGATTGTTTTGTACACGTCATGTAAGGTAGAGTTATTAAGAAAAAGAGAATATAGTGAGGGAAAACTGCTTTTCTGGTGGGGTTTTCCTTTAATTTGATCTACAGAAAATGCCTCAAATTTTGGGGGCAAAAGTACCCCATAATGAATTATTCAGGGATTTTTTTTGGTAACATCTGATATGTCATTATGTTCTTTTAGGCTTATCTAGTTATACAGGTGCTTCCTACTACCCTAGTGACCTGTTGCTGTCAGAGAGAAAAAATATATATAAATATAAATTCTATAACTATAAATTTTGACTAAAATCAGTGGCTATGAAGAATACACTCAAAATTCCTAGATAATCAAACATCCGCTAACATATAGAACATATACAACCATATAGAAGTCCTTTGTAACATTACAAATTATTTTATTGTGACTCAGATTAATGCATACTGGATATAAGTATTAATTTCTTAACAGTGTAGGAAACAGATTTATTAAATGATTTAAAATATGTCCTTGTTGTATTTTTGTATTATAATATGTTATTGCTATATTATGTTTGAACATTTATTTGATTAAATTGGTGTTAATGACATTCAGTGCCTTCTGATAGAAATGCTCAAAAAGTAAAAAAAAAAACATTACTGACTGTTTCCATCCGAAGTTGCGAATTTAACTTGTGTGCAAAATTGGAATATTGCATAAAACATTTGCGAATAAGCACCATTTCCATCCAGTGAGTCAAAGAAAACAAAATCGTTACTTCCTGTTAAACTGGCACTAAATATCACTAAGAAATGTAGGAGAACCCACTGAATACAATCATTTTCATATATAATAAATTACTTACTGCAGACGAAACACTATAAATGCATTCATTGTTTTCGGAGGAGGATGCCTGCTGTTTGGTAACGCAGTCATGTAAGATTACAATTATGGTACCGAAATTGATACCGAGAACTGTGGATTTTCACTGGTATTGCTACCGAATACTGAAATTTTGGTACCGTGACAACACTACTGTGCAACAAGATCAGTCCGCTGGTTAGTCAAGTTATCCCATCCCATCGCGCAAAGTCACATGACTTTTTTTGATGTGCATGGAGGAATTTATTTGGCATATGCATGTTCCATCTCCCATTAATCGCATGAACCCTTTTTCGCACAAGTCAAAGACCACCTCAAGCGAACCACCCTTTTTTCCCAAAATTTGGCACTTCCATCGCTCTTTTCTGATGCAGTACTTCAAAATGTGCATAAAAACAGGGTGATGGAAACAGTTTGTTAAGGTTATAGAGGCTGTAGAGTCAGGCTCATCCTGTCTTCTGTTGGGTTTGTAAAAGAAGGCAAATGTCAATAAAGTGAAGGTGTGTCCTTTCATAGAGCTGAACCACACACACCCTGCTATGATGACATTTTCCACATGGATCTGACCACTGTGCACCTCATTTATTTCTCACATAACCCGCTGACCAAATTTCCACTTAAATCTTCTCACACATTGCTAAACGTATAGAATTTTGTCAAAAGACACAGCATGAAATTATTTTATGTAAAACACTTCAGTCTTAAATGACACAAAAATATTCTCCTTAATTGGACACATTTTAAATAATTGCCTGATTTTAATTTGAGATTGTATAGCTTTCTACTGTCTCTTGTCACTTATAATTTTAATCCAGTCACTGCATGGATTTTTTTTAAAGTTTTGGGTATTTCAGTGTTTTCAGATTTCATCTTCTGCATAAGTGAATGAAATGTCTTGTTCAGTTACTCTTCATTTTCGCTTGATAATTTCTGAAGTTTCTGAGCTGACATCATGACCTCACTTTAGTGAAGGCCTTCAGAACAACTGTATCATTACCTTATTCTCATTATGTACCTTGTAGTGCGATGAGGCACTGAACCTGATTGATGATGGGTACAGCTTGCGATAAACACATTAGTGAGATTTATTTTTGGCGTTTTTGCCTTTTATTGATAGGATAGTAGTGAGACAGGAAGCGAAGTGGGAGAGAGAGGGGGAGATGGGATCGGGAAAGGTCCGCGAGCCACGACTCGAACACGGGACGCCCGAAGCACAGTGGCGCTACATGTCGACGCGCTGCCCACGAGGCTATCGGTGACGACACATTAGTGAGATTTGAGCAATTACCCATGTACTTTAAATTAGGGCTGCACGATATATCGAAATACCGCAAATGTAAATATTGCAATATGCATATCGCAACGCCGTGCGATATCATTATCATTTTAATAATAGGCTACTTAAATCAAAACGTTGCAAAAGGTCAAAGTTTTAGTTCGACGCATATAGCAGAGAATTGCTTGACGCTGAAAAGAGTTATTAAGTGCAATAAGTTGCAGAAAACAACTCTTTGCCGTCTCGTCTTGCTGGCTGACTGCCGCACACATGCGGCAGTCACATGATCATTCTCGTAAACGCAGTCGGTTATCTTTTAAATGAATGTAAACAGCTGAGAAAGAAATCGGATGTGTATCATTAAATGATGGACAGATTGCCTACTGGAGGATGAAATCTACTTTTCTTTTTCTCTTGGTCTGATCAGGCATCCTTATTGACTCTGAGCATCTCCCCTGACCCTAGTACTGACACATCCTTTCAGTCTCTGAATTGCTCTGAATGGATTCATGTAATTTCCTGCTCACCACAGGATGTTTCATAATAACTGGTATTGTCAGAAGATGACGTTCATGTGATCTGTTGATATGGGTGAGTGGATGACTTCAGGCCTGAGGAAGTGAACATGGTTGAGGATTGTTCTGGACTGTTTCTTTATTGGAAGTGATGAATTAACCCTTAAATGCATACCTCGGGTCTTTAGCTACCCGGGACATCATTCTCTACCCTCTCCCTCCTTCCTCATTATAGTATAGTATTCCTCAATCTATTCATTATAAACAATATAACAAGAAAAAAAATAGTAATATATAAAAGAATGCCAGTTTTCTGATAAATTTTTTGTAAAAAGTGTATAGGGTCGCTAGAGACCCGAGGTATGTAAATGTGTAAGTATTTTTTTCCTGCACAACTATATTTACATTACTGCAGGCATAAAACAAACGAATACCATCAGCAAAAATTGAACTGGTTTGAATGGCTTTACTGCAGAGTAGACCTGTGCCGGTATTTGGTAATGCGGTATATCACGGTAATGAATATGCACGATATTGTTATCGTGGGCACTTCTAAATATCGTGAATAATTATATATTACAAATTATTCCGAATTTTGAATGCATTTTAAGAATACTTTTCCCATACAATTACTATACGCAATGAAATATAAATATCACTGTCATTTGATGCTGGATGTGGTGAATAAGCTGCCAGTGATCAAAATATTGAATATGAAGTCATTGAAAACGATAGTTTTGAGAATATGGCTGAGATCGCGAATATGAGGCAGATGCTGAATGTACTGTGGAAGTGCGCTCTGACAATGACAGCGATGGTAAAATCATCTGCTCAAATTGAACCCTTTTAAGTTTCAAAAGGTAACGAAATATACTTTATTTTATTCTTCTGTAATTGTTCTTAAAATATCAAGAGAGTTCGGGCCGCTAAAGACCCGAATATGTAATAATGATTGGTGAAACATTCATGCATCTAAGGGTTAATACTAATAAATAATGCTATCGCTCACCTGTAATACACAATAGATTTTTTAACACCACAGATGGAGAACGGCATTTCACAAGTTGTCGGGTCAACTTTTTATTGGCAGTTTAAGAATGAAAATGTACAATTTTTCATTGACATTTTGTTTCTTGAGGATTTTTTGTCAGCAGTATTGAAGATGAGACTCCTGTACTGTGAATATAATGAAACTCTTTACTGTTGATGAAAACAAAAAGATTAACAGCAATGCACTAGAAATTAAGAAGATAAATATAGTAAGTATTGATTTATAAAATCCAGTCATATATGTTGTAGATTGTTTATACATTTCAAAATGTTTGAAAATGTGCTTAAAGTGCAAACTATTACAGTTTGACACATTTTCTTCATTTTTTACATATACTGCTGTTCAAAAGTTTTTGATAGAAAGTAAAACCTTTATTATTATTATTATTATTATTATTATTTAACTTTTCATTGACTGTATGCCATTTCAGTTGGAGTAAAATGTGACATACATTTGACATGATGAAGTATTGACTACATTTAAGGACATTTTGACTTTTTTGTCAAAAGACAAAAACTATAAAACACTGTCCGTAATGCTCGTTTCCAGCTCTTCTACAATTTAGACACTCTTTTTCAAAAATGTTTGAAATGAAAAAGCCCTTAAATGTACAAATGTTCTTTGACTTTTTCTCAGCCTTCCTCTCACTGCCTCTCTCCCCCTTTGTTATCCATTAGCACTCTTTGTACTCTCTAAAGGATAAACATCGCTCTGTGTTTAATCTCGTAACCTCTAATATTCACAAAAGAGTTTGAAGTAGGCCGGGATGGTGCAAATTCTCTGTGGAATGAATGGCGATGACATTAACAGCCGTTCTTTCATTAGCAAATTCAGTTTGTTTATTACGATTGACTTCATAAGAAATTAAATGTTTGGAGAAGTATATTGTGCCAATATATATCTTGGCTGTTGTTTGTTTTATGTTCTTGCATGTCTTCATGCTTCACCTCGTCAGCTTTTCTGTTGTTTTATTCTGTGAACGAGAGGGCAGAAGGTCGGGGAGGGATGGAGGAGAGCAGTAGTTTAATGTTACACAGGGTGTGAGAGTGAATCTTCTTTCTGTTGTTATCAGTTTTCGGGATGAAAAGTTCAAGAGCTTTCAGAGCTTGTTCCTTTCTGGAAAAAAAAAGAAACCGGATTGCAGGTTCTTCCTCTGTGCCTGAGAAACAGCCAAAACACACTCCCATACTTTCCCATAGCCTTTTAACCGTGATAGCAGACAGCTCCTGGTAAATCCCAGTTAACTGTTTTATTTCAGTATGTTTTCTTTTGAAGCACTAGTGGTGCTTGTAAGATCCAAACACCAAACATTAAAAGAGTCTCTTTCATTTGTCTTGCCTAAAGTGGTCTAGAATTTCAAACGAGTGAAAATGATGACTTGACATTTTGGCTTAAGATGTCTACATTATTATAGACATCAGTTCCTTTTCTTGGTCTGTTCTGTTGGTTCCATGCTTTGTTATTTTATGGTTCATGTACGCACATGTGGAACTTGGCAATCTGTTTTGAAATTGAACCAGAACTTTCCAGGATATGCTGTCGGTCTAGGAAGCTCCACTCCTGTTTTTCTGTGCTGCACTTCAAATTATGATGTAGTTCAGTTTCATTGTTCCCCGATGGTAAAATAATTTCACCAGGCCCTCAAAACCTTCAAAAAAATGTGTAAAATCACGTCTTTGCTGAGCACTTGACTGTTAATGCATTTAAAACTGTATAGTAAATCTGTATAAAGTTTTACCTTTTTATTTATTTATATTTTTTATTAAAATTCTCTACACAATTTAACAAATTTTTTTATTTTTATAGATGTATATTGTGAGATGGCTTATAGCATCTTTACCTGAATAATACACCTATAAATATTGTGAAATAGACACAGATAGTATGTTTGAAAAATAAGTGTAGTTACATCTGGGCGTTAATGGGTTAATGCAGTAACGAAAGGAATTAAATTATTATTTGTTTGCTTGTTTGTTTGTTGGTGTACAATCTCACTTTAGTTCTTGGTTCTTTTCAGACAATTAATGCCTCCTTAGGACTAGTCATTTTTTTGTCTCCTTATTTGTTACTCACTTTGGTTAAAAGTGTTTCCTAAATGATTGAGTGTAAATGTTGATGTCCATCTGCATACTGTTGTGGTATACAGCACTAGATGAAGTAAAATCTGTAGATGAAGAACAGGTCTGCTTTGATTGTCAGAGACAGTAGCCGGATTGCTGAGCTCATTACCATTCTAAAGGTCAAGCTTGGTTGCGTGGTGTGCACTGTGTGTGTGTGTTTTTTTTTAATGTTATTGGAGATGAATGACTGGATCATAATAAGGAAGCTTCTCTTTATACATTCTCCTTCTGTCATATTTCATGACATTCCCTCTGTCTGCCAGCATAGAGAGAGAGTTGTTTCTGTGCCCTGACTGACTTTACAGTTGCCTTTGCTGGTCTTTAATCTTTGGTTTGTTTTTATCTTGCAGGTGAGAAGGGCACTCTGACCCATGGCTCTATTGTGGATGGGAAATTTGAGGGTTTCATTAAGAGCCATCAGGGCACATACTACGTAGAACCCTCAGAGAGATACCTCAAAGACCAGAATGTGCCCTACCACTCAGTCATGTACCATGAGGATGACATCGGTGAGCTAATATTGGCATTGGAATGACCTACAGCATATCCTTAATCATCTCTTATTTAATGTTTTACTGTGTCCAGCTTGCTGACCGTGTTTCTGTATATAGTGTTAATATAGTTTCTGTGGATGCTTTTGATTATGTAGATATATTTAGAAAACAAACTCGTTTTGTACTCTGCCATTTAAAGGTTAGGAGTCAGTAAGGTTTTTTAAAATGTTTTTGAAAGAAGTCTCTTATGGTCATCAAGGCTGCATTGATTGATCAAAAATACAGTAAAAAGGATAATATTGTGAAATATTATTACAATGTAAAATAACGGTTTTTAAATAAAAATATTTTTAAATTAAATGTATTCTTTTGACTGCAATATTCCTACTGTTCATCAATTTTAACGCATCCTTGCTGATTAAAAATATTTCTTTCTTTCAAAAACAACTGACCACATAACTTTTGAATGGTGGTGTATATAAATCAATTTCCTAAGGGTGATAAGTTTTTTTTAAAGGGGTGGTTGATTGCGATTTCACTTTTTTAACGTTAGTGTGTAATGTTGCTGTTTGAGCATAAACAATATCTGCAAAGTTGCAGTGCTGAAAGTTCAATGCAAGCGGAGATATCGTCTTTTAAAATTCTGGCAGTTTAATGCCTACAAAAACGACTGGTAGGGAGTACAACGAGCTTCTTCCTAGGTCCGTTACGTCACGAACCCAGATAAACCCCGCCCCCGGGAACACGCAGCAAAGGGGGCGAGGCCATGTTGTGCTGCTTTACAGAAGAGGAAGAGAAAACTAGAGGTGCACGTAAAAATACGCAATCAAGCCTAGAAAAAACCCAGTCAACCACCCCTTTAAGATACATTTTTTTTAAGCCAGTTGCTCAAGTCAGTTTTAAATGCTATAAAATGTAAATAAACTGCTTTCAGCATAATCCATTTTACGCACCGTAAAGATCCATATCAAGCTTGCTCCTTTTGACCGATAAATGAAAGCGTCTGAGTGAGTCTGTCTCCAATCTGATGTTCTGAGACTCCCCCAAGTATGATGAGAGCTGTTATAATGGCTGGATTATGGAATTGGTTTCAAATTACATGTTTTGATTGCTTTTGGATGGAAAAGTGCTGTTATTGTTAGAATTGCATCACATTATGATGGTCATTATAATCTTTTGGAAAGGTGTTTTGGATCATGAAATTGAGTGAATCAGTGTAATACAAAGCATTATCACACAAATAAAACAGTTAGGACACAGCAAAATGCAGAGCGCTTCCCCTTTTCCCATTAAGCAGACTAGGCACAGGCTATAAACAAGCTTGAGGCTTTTAGTTTGCACTAGACCTTACTGTCTTTTGTCTTACTCTCCCTATCTTGCATTGTCACTCTCTCACTCTCTCAATCAAACATAGTGGTGCACTTTTCCAGCTCAACAGGCTGATAAAGCCTCTTAAATAATATTGTATGTTATCACTGTTATAATATCCTCAAGTAAAAGAAATGATAGAAAGCGACAGCCTGTCAAAGATTAGCAGCTTGGTATCTGGTACACTTTCCTCTTTATATAAATATTATATACACTATTAGGGATGTAACGATTCATCGATATGGATCGATACATCGATACGATGTCTGACGATACGATGCATCGATGCCACGGGTAAAATATCGATATCTGTAGTATAAATAGGCCTTTATTTTGGCACCTTTATTCTGGCACTGTCCACATTTTCACATAATGTCCGTCTAGTGTGAAGTTTTCAGCGCACACATCTGAAGCGCACGCACACAGACAGCTGCGTCTACACCGCGCGAATACTAAATTGAGCTCTCTTCCGCTTTTTTGTGCATGGATGAATAAATACAGACAAAATTACTTCAAAATGCGCGTTTTGGCGAGTATCCTAGTAAACGCAGTAGGTTAGGCATATGTCTAAAAAGTTTGTCAGTGGGTAAAGTGTAAAATGTTGTTTGAACACTGACTTTCAGAAAATATTCGTTTATGTTCCACAGAAGAAAGAACATAATACAGGTTTACAACAATATGAATGTGAGTAAATGATGACAGAATTTTCATTTTTCTTTAAGAGAATGCATTACAATACTGGACAAGCAACAAGGAACTTTAACAGCATGTACTAGTGCAGAAGGAAATGAAGTGTCTTTTCCACACTCCTCTGTCAATTCTTGTACTTTGAAGTGATGAAGTGCTCAGTATCACTATCAGCTGTGGGAGGAACAGGATAACTAACTCTAGCTCACACACATATGCCGCTTACATGCTGGGTTTGTGCATGCACAGTAAGTTAGAGTTAAAGAGAGCTAATGTATGTTCACTGCAAGTGTGGATGAGGTCAGATAGGGACAGTGAGCTTGTATCTATGGGAAGGAAAGAGAAAAAGTTAATTGTGGCCGACAGTGGTCTATTGAAGCACAAGGACAGAAGGGCACCTGGAGAGTGGAGTGAACTCTGGAACACTCACTGGCTCATGCCAGGCTCAGAATGTTTCCTGTGGGTATGTTTCTCCACTTTCAGGAAGACCTCACTGAACATTTAAATGATAAAAGCAAAATTTGTGAAGAATGTAATTGACCATATTTAGTCTTGGTTTCAGTTAACTTCTAGAATTAGGCCTAGAATTATTTATTCTCTCATTGGGCTGCTGTTCTTAATCTCTGACTGCTGTATTAATATATGCAATATTGTATATATTGGCTGCTGTAAACAGAGACCTTACACAATCACAAACATATCCCTTTGCGAAATCATGAAATTCATAATTTCATCAACATGCATTCATTACAGTGAATACATCTACTGTACTGTATTGATGCAGATCAGAATCAGAATGAGCTTTATTGCCAGGTATATTTACACATACGAGGAATTTGTTTTCGTGACAGAAGCTTCCACAGTGTAACAGAATGACAGTGACAGACGGAGCACGCCACGGAGGCAGCCATCAGCGTCGGCGCCATCTTCATCTCGCCATCGCCATCTTCATCTTCCTCTTCCTCAGATTAATGATAACTAGTTTTTTTTTTCAGGAAGTCTTTGTTTTCCTGTAGGTGATTTTGCCAAGTGGGACATGTTCCTGTTCAACATCCTTTTGGTCTTGGAAAAAAATCCCTTTCAACCAAGATTTTAGGGTTAGGTTTAGGGCTGGCATAATTCTTATTATCTGGCATTTGCGTCTAACAATTCCCTTCATTCTTATGATGCCTTCTTGCAAGGGGTTGTTCCAATACCTTGCGGAAGTCATCCAGCTTAGGTTGACCATAATGGAGTTTTTTGAAAATTTCATCTGGTATTATTGCATATTTTAATAAGCTCAGTCATAAAAGTATGGGTTGTTAATACTGAAACCCAACACTTCCTGCTTGGGACAACCTCTCACAACCACAGCTTGCGTTTCTGAGTAGTTGTTTGTCAGTTTTGTTTATGTGGTGTTGTTGTTTTGCTGTTTATTACTCAGCAAAAATGTGTCAGTGCATAAATAATTTTCACTGAAACAATCCACTATTTTATTGTGTTCTCAAGAGTAAAAAACGAATCTGAGATTTTAGCTAAAAGCTCACCATACTTCCATTTAGATTGCTTTGACAAGTCAGAGACTTTTCTCATCTCAGAAGATTTCGGTTCTCTCCTCGAGGCACTTGTCATTTCCTTTTACACTCGTTTCCTCTAGACAGATGTCTCTCTTGTTCTGCCCAACATAGATTTGCATTTGAATGGGGCTGCATTCAATGTGGGACAATAAAAACTTCACAGAGAAGAAATGGAGTTGTTGAGATCAGAGTGACAGTCTTTCCTTAACTACCACCAAGACACCTTCAGCCACATACATATTCTCTTCTCCTCCATGCCCTCACCTGACAGAGCACATTTTGATGACTCATTGTCTGGACATGCTAACATTATTCCACAACAGTCAGTTCCTGCTTGAAGAAAACAAGTTCTCTCAGGAGCAAGAGAGATGTGAGCTGTCACCCATAATCTCAGTCCTGAGGTTAGTCGTCCTGTGACAGACAGATTAATGCAGCAGTTCCACTCAACCAGAAGCATCATCGTGATGTCAGGAAGCCATGCAAATGATGCTGAATTGTATAGATTATTAAGAGAGAACCCAATGCTGGATCCTCAGTGTCTGTGTGGTTACTGTTCTCTGTGGAGTTCTCAAAGACGCTGAGTGGACTTTCAGAGCTCTGCTGTCTCATTAGACCAGCTCTCTTCTCTCACTGCCAGTGCCTGGCTGTCCTGGGACTGAGAAACCATCAGCCTAAACCTGTCATGGGTAATTAGACTGGTGTGTAAGAGTTGCACACATGCACACTGCTTAGGTTCTGTTGTGTTGTTTTCATTATTTCTTGAAATCTGTCCTTTTCTAATCCGTGAGTTGGGAAGATACTTCGCTGGTCCTAAGATTCGTCAGAAATCATTCGCTATTCCGTCTGTCAGAATTTGGATTCGCTAAGTCCAGAGGTGTTCAACATACTGGTCACATCAGCATCAATAATTTCTTTGATACAGTGCTTGAAATCTTAAAAGATGATAAAAGAATTGAAATTTTTGTGTCTTAACTGAACTGTGTGTACCTAATTAACTATATTTTCAGGACAAATTTATACACAGAACTGAGCGAAATCTGACAAAACCTCTTTTTGGGGACATCCTCGTTTGTAACAACAGTATTAGAATCAAAAGCACATGAAAGCATGCAAAAAGCAGAAAGTGTTTTTTTTTATTATTATTGAAAAAATTCAGAAAGTTTAGATAGCTCTGTGTGTGT